CCAGTGGGGCGTGCACCCCCAAAGAGAGGCGCCCTAGTCAGATGCCAGAACCACCTCAGCTGACTCCTTCTGACGTGGAGCAGCAGCTCTCTATGCTCCAACAAGACGGGAGATGAAGAATCTCTTTTTATAGTTTTTCCTCAACCAATGTTCAGGGTTTAAATCCTCCTAAGTTCTCCCACTGAAGAAAACCTGAATTCAGTCCTGAATTTCACCTGAAACTCTCAGACTGAAGAAGTCTCTTGGAGGAGAGACGAAACGTTTCATTAGAGAAGAACCCGTCCAGAAGACCTATACAATTTTTTTTCTTTTTGTTTTTTTAACTTGTTTCGATGCCCCTTTCTTTGCGTATTGGTCTGCTAACTCATTTCCTTCAACCCGTATGCGAGATGGAACCCATAAAAACACAATTTCCCTTCTAATTTGGAATAATCTATATAATGTTTGTTGAATTTCATAAATAATATCCTGTCTTGACTCTGACTTCATGTTCTGAATGCTTGTTAATGYACTGCAGGAATCAGAAACTATTAACACTTTTTCTAAACCATTTTCCTCAATCCAGGTTAATGCGACAAGAAGCTAAAAGTTCACCTGTATAAACTGCTAAGTTATCATTAGTCCTATTATTTTTTATAAAGCCCAAATTTGGTATCAGAAATGCAATACCAGCTTAATTATCACTAGTTCTAGATGCATCTGTATATACAGCCATGTACTCTGAATAATATTTTCTGATTTAACCCTCAACAACGTTACCACTGTAAGATTGACATTTTAACAGATTTGCATCTACACTTGCTTCATTAYAACACCAAGGAGCAAYAGCAGCAATAGGAACTGTCAAACTTGATGTCAATTCTTGAAGATCAACCTCTTCTACAGTTGTTGAGGATTGTAGCAGTACTTGTTAGGAGCTGGGACAAAAGGTCAGAATAAGGGTCGTATAAACATCTGGTAAGAAAGTTCTGTAAAAGGTGAGATCATCAAACAGTCTACAAATAGATTTAATAAGTGTACTGGGTGCTCTTAAATTTCCAGCCCAATTCTTGGAAGTGACCACCCTTCCTGGGTACGTAGAATTTGTGTTGTGAAAACAGTTTGGGAATAAAAGGGTCTGGTTTCTAAATACGTCAGTTCAGCTGGGATGATTCTGTCGGTTGTATTGATCTGTTGAACTCAATAAAACTCCCTCATCGGCTGGCCAAAAGCGACGTCTCCTCATCTTTATTTCATCTTCACAGTCATTTTCACCACCCACCCAAAACTAGAGAACTTATTTATTGTCCTCTCCTGACAAGGATGTAGAATCTTTTGTACTAAAGATGCTGGTTGAACGGTGACAGGAAGTAGTTCGGTTACTTAAATCTTGTGATGCTGTATTTCTGAGTGTTTTATGTGCTGCAGAACAGGAACCTGCTGTAAAACAGCAATTATGCTGAGTCAGGCTTGATTTTTAGTGATCTTTTCCTGTTAAAYCAACAAATCAAATCAAATCCCTCCGCGCACATCAGCAGGGTGTTTAGCCCTACCTATTGTCCTGGAAGCGGTACTGCATTGCATATTCCTTTTAAAAGACTCAAACTATCATGTTGTAAAACATCCACTTCTGAAGTTGTTGCTTTTGGATTTTCTCTCTTTAGAAGAATGTTCTGGTTGTTGTWCAAAGCTGCACTTTAATACTTAAAGTCAACTGCTGCTACACAACAAGTCAGGAGAGTTTGCGTCTCCGTACTTTGTTAATCCAACACCGATTGTGGTTCAGTCATCACTGTCATCAGTTAAAACTTTAGTTCAGTGCTTTTATGTCAAAGTTAGAAACCAGCTTTTAATCCACGTGAGCAGAAAATCCTTTTTTGTGTACAAACTGCCAGCTGGGAACAGAGCTGGTTGGTATGTAATAATCCACATTCACCCCCCACCTCTGTGCAGCCAGGTTTTAGTTTCACAACACGGCCTCTCTGCACTTTTATTCTGATTTTTTTAAAGGATCTGCAGAGTTTTCACGCTCTTACTTTTCATTTAAACACCTGTACTGTTTTTGTTTTTGATTTTTGAACTCCTTGGAAAATGGGGGTTGAATCTGAGGTCAATACTTCGAGTGATGCTGCACCGTACGGAGGGAAAAGTGCTTTTACTCAGATGGAGCACAACATCGTGGCTGGATATCTGATAACTGCAGGTAAATCATTTCTAATGCAGACATATATACACTCACTAATGTCTGAGATTAACAGAAAATTATCCAAAGTTTGGGTGTTGATACTATAAAACTAAACGAATGTATTTACACAGGTTCAGTTTTACTCCAAGTTTCGTCCCTCATCGCTGTCAGCCTGTTTCTCTCCTCTTCTCTTAGGTGTCATCAGTTTAACAAGTAACATTGTGGTGCTGATGATGTTCGTGAAGTTCAGGGAGCTCCGCACAGCCACCAACTTCATCATCATCAACCTGGCCTTCACCGACATCGGAGTGGCCGGAATCGGTTATCCCATGTCGGCCGCCTCAGACATCCACGGCAGCTGGAAGTTCGGCTACACCGGCTGTCAGGTGAGGAGGAAAAAGCAGCCAAAGTACAAAATGAAGCACTTAGGAAGACCTGATATAGAGACTTTGAGACAATTTGGTTGCTTGAAAAGAAAATATAACGATTTGTTTTTTTCCGTCTCCAGATCTACGCGGCTCTCAACATTTTCTTTGGCATGGCCAGCATCGGCCTGCTGACTGTGGTGGCCATCGATCGCTACCTCACTATCTGCAGACCAGACATAGGTGCATTTAAACCCCTCCACAGCAGGGCCGGCTTGTGGCATAGGCAGTATARGCAAATGCAAAGGGCACAGTCCATCTAGGGGGTGCCACAAATACGGGATGAAAAACATACATTTTAAAACTTTTTATCAGAGTACAGTTGATTTAGTTTGTAGAATAATGACTGGTCACTCAGGTTTATGAAGGTTTTTTTATTATAAAATATCATGTGATGCAGGCAAGACTAACAACTGGTGCTCAGTGTATAAACAGAAAAAAATAAGGCTAAGTCTGGTTTTCAGTGTTTTACCTTCGCAAAATACTGATTTTATTTTGTTCTATTAATCCCAAGAATTTGGCAAAATGCTCTTCAGTGGCTGTAAAATGAAATTTTTGTAGATCTTTTAAAAGGTTTTCTGGGGGGAGTTTACATCTGGACCCCCTAGAACTGCTTCAGTCCACAGCTGCTGGTTAACATGAACAGGTGTTTCTTGTTGCTGTCAGCAGATGCTAGCAGGTATGAGGTAGACTTTTGGTATTGTTCTGGTTTCTGAAGATAAATAATAATATCACAGACAAAACCATTTAATTTGGTATGTGAATGTCTGTAAACTGGCCGTGAGATTTAGAAGATTGTACAAGAGGCACCACCTGAAATCTTGCCTAGGCCGCCAAAATGGCTTGGGCCAGCCCTGCGCCAGAGCTCCTTTTACCAGACACAGACTTGATTGACATTCGTGGACCCCCTCAACAGAGTCTGGGTCATGACACAAGAGATGTATTTTTTTTTTTTACTTCCCTGTGATTTGTTCCTTCAGGACAGAAAATGACAGTGAGGTCGTACAACATTCTGATTCTGGCTGCCTGGCTGAACGCAGTGTTCTGGTCCTCCATGCCCATAGTGGGCTGGGCGGGTTACGCCCCTGACCCAACCGGAGCCACGTGTACCATCAACTGGAGGCAGAACGATGCGTAGGAAAACCATTTTATTTCTTAAACTGCTTCAGGTCGACTGAGCCTCAGAGTTTGTTTCCAGTCACTTCAATCATCAGGTCTTCAGCTGAACATCTCTACTTTCCCTCCACAGCTCCTTCATCTCCTACACCATGACAGTGATTGCGGTGAACTTTTTGCTCCCCCTCACCGTCATGTTTTACTGCTACTACAACGTGTCGGTCACCGTTAAAAGATACAAGGCCAGCAACTGTCTGGACAGCATCAACATCGACTGGTCRGACCAGATGGACGTCACCAAGGTGAAAAACCGGATCTGAAACGCTGATGTACAAGCCTCTGGTTTCAGGTTCTGAACAGTTTGTTGCCTAAGAGCTCATCTGGGTGGGAGTCCAGATTATAGCTGCTGCTTTTCAGCATCAAGACGTCAGATTAGGTGGTTTGGTTGTCTGATTAAGATGTCATGCTGTGGCTTCCTTTGGAGGTTTTTTTGGGCACGTCTAGTTGGGAGAACCAAGAATCTGCTGGGGAGAATAGGTATCCTCTCTGGTCTGGGACTGCCAGAGAGGATCCATTTGTTTTATTTCAACAAACCAAACCTTGAGTGTTTTTGTTTGCTGTGTTTCAGATGTCCATCGTAATGATCGTCATGTTCCTGGTCGCCTGGTCTCCGTACTCCCTGGTGTGTCTCTGGGCATCGTTCGGCGACCCAAAGACCATCCCGGCCCCCATGGCCATCATCGCCCCCCTCTTTGCCAAGTCCTCCACCTTTTACAATCCTTGCATCTACGTGATCGCTAACAAGAAGTGAGTGGTGTCTGTTCTCCAGCGTGTGCTGCAGTGAAGGTGGAAACCATAACGGCTGTCTCCCTGCAGGTTCAGAAGAGCCATTGTCGGGATGATCCAGTGTCAAACCAGGCAGCGGGTCAACATCAGCACCCAGGTTCCTATGACCACCTCTCAGCAGCCTCTGACCCAATAAGGACTGGTTACTACAGAGCGACACCACGTTAAACATTTAAAACAGGCGCTATATAGACCCGCTGCTGATTTCTTTGTACTGTAGCTGTTTGTTCCGATGAGTCCCTGAATGCAGTGTGGTATTTACTGTGTAAATTCCACCTTCCTGTTGTAGTCGTCCAATATTTAAACAAATACATTTAAAATATTCTGAGTGTTTTTGTTTGCCATTGTGTGCCATTTTCTTCAAATGAGGCTTTTGTTAAAGTGAAAGGCAATGATAAGTCTGTATATGATCGTTTTGTTCACACTGTAAAGTGTCTCGTCACTTGACATATTAATAAAACTAAGTAATCACTGAGTATACAGCTGATACATGATGGCTGCCAAAGCTGATAGACATTATCCAACACAAAAACATTTATAACTGTCAGGTTTATAGATATTAAGGACCAGTTTAGTGTCAAATCAAGAAACGTTAGGCCACTTGTAGTTTTTCAGAAGAATCCAATTCCATTTTTGCCGAATCTTAGCAATTCGACTGTACGTCGTCATCAGACCCTAACCCAAAAAACATACTTCAGTCCAAACGTCTRGTTCTGTGATGGTCTGGGCTTGGACTAGTGTTTTTTGATGCATCAATGAAGAAAAGTCTAGCAGATGTCTTCAGAAACACCAGTTTTCCAGGAGACTCAGAACACGCTGGACGGACTACACTCACCTGCAACTTTATTAGGTACAACTTGCTAGTACTGGGTTGGACCCCCTTTTGCCTTCAGAATTGCCTTAATCCTTTGTGGCATAGATTCACCAAGGTACTGGGAACATTCCTCAGAGAGTCTGGTCCATACTGACATGACAGCATCACAAAGTTGCTGCAGATTTGTCTGCTGCACATCCATGATGTGGATCTCCCAAAGATGCTCTATTGGATTGAGATCTGGTGACTGTGGAGCCATTCCAGTATATTGAACTCATTGTCGTGTTCAAGAAATCAGTCTGAGATGATTCACGCTTTATGACATGGTGCGTTAACCTGCTGGAAGTAGCCATCAGAAGATGGTACACTGTGGTCATAAAGGGATGGACACGGTCAGCAACAATACTCAGGTAGGCTGTGGCGTTGACACGATGCTCAGTTGGTACTAATGGGCCCAAAGTGTGCCAGGAAAACATCCCCCACACCACTGCACCACCACTACCAGCCTGAACTATTGATACAAGGCAGGATGGATCCATGCTTTCAGGTTGTTGACACCAAATTCTGACCCTACCATCCGAATGTTGCAGCAGAAATCCAGACTCATCAGACCAGGCAATGTTTTCCAATCTTCTATTGTCCAGTTTTGGTGAATCTGTGTGAATTGTAGCTTCAATTTCCTGTTCTTTGCTGATAGGAGTGGCACTCGGTGTGGTTTTCTGCTGCTGTAGCCCATCTACCTCAAGGTTTGACGTGTTGTGTGTTCAGAGATGCTCTTCCACAGACCTCGGTTGTAACGAGTGGTTATTTGAGTTACTGTTGCTGTTCTATCAGCTCGAACCAGTCTGGCCATTCTCCTCTGACCTCTGGCATCAACAAGGCATTTGCTTCCACAGAACTGCTGCTCACTGAACATTTTCTCTTTTTCAGACCATTCTCTATAAACCCTAGAGTAGGTTGTGGGTGAAAATCCCAGTAGATCAGCAGTTTSTGAAATACTCAGACCAGCCCGTCTGGCACCAACAACCATGCCACGTTCAAGGTCACTTAAATCACCTTTCTTCCTCATTCTGATGCTCGGTTTGAACTACAGCAGATCGTCTTGGCCATGTCTACATGATTAAATGCATTGAGTTGCTACCATGTGATTGGCTGATTCCACGTTTGCGTTAATGAGCAGTCGGACAGGTGTATCTAATAAAGTGGCCGGTGAGKGTCTCTCAGTTGGTCAGGGAACACCTTGAGTCCTCCCAAAATCAGTGGCTGTGGAAAGAAAGGAATGGACCCTCCTGGTCAAGCTGCTGCCCCCAAAACCTGACTCTGGAACAAGATGGAGTCGATGGTAGAAAGGGACAAAAAAAAAACCACCACACCCAAACCTAAACCTTTTTCCCAATTAAGGTGTACTTTTTTATCAAATATTGCAACAAAAATGCAGAAATAGGTTAGATGAAGAACACATATCCACTCAATATTACATTAAAATCCCTGTTTTTAATTTTCATTTTTCATCCTGTTACCAGTGTTAGTCATTTAAACCTATCAAAACGGTTTCCTTCATCATAGCTGACAGCTCAGAGTGAGATAAATAACACAAAGTAATCTGAAAAAATATTTATTCTGGTCGATGTCTTTGGCTTTTCAGAGAGACGAACACTAAAAAGGGCTCTGAAACAAGGTGGGATTATAAAACCGCCAAATAATCTGACGATGCACCCGAAGGTTTTTGTTTTACTTCACATTGCTCATCAGCCAGGTTCGGATCTCTGCCCGGTTACTCTTGAGCCACTTGATGTTATTCCTCACCGTCTCCAGCGCCTGCTTCCTCGGCATCTCTCCTGCACCGGCGTTCTGCGTCAGCTGGAAGAAATGCTCCATCTGAAGAACCAAAGCAGAGGAAAAACACCACAGGAGGAGTAAGAAAAACATTAAAATCAAAGAGAACAGTCAGATTTACAACAAGAACTCTGCTTTTATCTGTTCAGAGCTACAAAAAAAAACGGTCACAAAGACGACCTCTGACCTTCCACAGCTGGGCCTCAGAGTTGTAGGTGGTTGAGATTTGGTTCAGCAGACGGCCGAGGTTTCTGTCGTTGATGGTGTACCTTTAAAAGCAGGTAAATGATTCTCATCACCAACAGAGTACATGGATTTAAAGCATGTTAAAGTCCAAAGGAAAGTGTTTCTCTGAGACACAAACACCTCTGAAACAAAACACAGCAACTGTTAAATGTTTTATGTTATCCTAGGATATCAAACTGTGCAATAAAGCCATAACATTTTGAAATAAATGATGTTTTAACTCATTGACTTCAGAGAATAAGGACTGGAACAGTATGAAGTGCTATAAACTGTTTTGTTTGTTTGAACAGACCTGTTGACCAGGTAGTTCCAGTTTAAGGTGGTCCAGTCCCAGGCCATGTTCTGACCCAGCGGGTTGTACGACACGTATCGCACCACCGTGAACAGATCCTGACTCCTCACCACGCTCTCATCTTTAGTTGCCTCCAGGAGCCTGTTGGACAGAGGAAATGTCCACCTTCACTTCCTGACACTGCCTGGAGCTGAGGGCAGTACTATTTTTGCTTTCTTGTGCATGTGTTTGTTAGCAAAAAAAAATAAAAATTAAAAAAACTCAACAACAGATGGAGATAAATGAATGCAACTCTCACAGTAACAATCACTGGACAGACAGCTGTTTCAACCCAATAGCTTTAAATTCAGACTTTTTAAAAATGGCTGCTTCCTTCAAAGCAAAGACTGAGATGTTTTACGTACTTRGAGAGAAGACAGACGTCCTCCACAGATGCCAGCCCGTGCAGCAGCTTGTCCTTCTCCTGAGCCAGAGTTGAGTTTTTGTACCTCTGGAACATGACGTTCCAGTTCTCAGAGGTTGAGCTCTTCATGCCGTACCGATACACAAGCAGCCTGAGGTTCACAGGTACGCTGCTGCAGGTCAGAAGAGGTCAAAGGTTACCAAAGACAAAATCACATTTTAGCAGCTGCTCTGTTAGAAATCATGAGCTCTGTTAGTTTGAAAAGTCCACCTGAGACTACCGTGGATCCACTCGTCAAAAATACGAGCGGCTTCGTTCAGCGACTCTTTGTCATCCATCTGACAGGAGATGGTGAGCACAATTTCCCTCAGCAACCTGAACAAAAAAACAGTTACCACAAAAGAAACTTATCAAAATCAGCAATAGTGATGATAAAAGTTGTAAAACAGATGCTATAGTTAGTACAACATGCCAACATTCGCTTAAATTAGCWAAATCAAAGCTAAAATTAGCATAGTAGATGTTATAATTGGCAAAATATGTTACAAGCAAAACAGCATAACAGTAAAAACAGAGTTTGTTGAAACAGATTTTAAAAAGAACAATGTTTTCAAAGGAAGAAGGAGTTGGAAAAATACAGTATAACATCACTAAACCAAAGGTTAGACTGATCAAGATGAATGGCTGAAAATACAAAAAGTATGCAGGAGTAGTCTGATTGCAAATAAAGAAAGGAAAAAGCTACAAAACAATTATTCGAAGGCACAAAAATGTGAACTTTTGATGGATTTATTTCTACCTTTCTGTTTGTGTTCCTACATCATTCCAGCCCAGCTGAGTAGAGATTGGTTTAACGTGATCACGAAACAATTTCTAGAACAAAAAGTCAAAATATTTTTAAAAAAAAAACAAGAAAACCGCAACAACCAGCTGAACATATTTGTAAAAGAAAATTCAGCTTCTTTTCTGACACTTGAGCACAACGAAAGTTGAAAATATTAACTGACATTCATGATTTGTTTCATGTTTTTGTTAATTTAAATTGAAAATAATCTGCTGATTTGATCGATATATTCAGCTTTAAGTTTAGCATCATAAATTTCCAGATTAATGTGTTTGTTGTGATATTATTTAACTTTTCTGCTGACCTGAAACAGCGTGTAAAGCTCGTTGTCRTTGGACAGCATGTCTCGAACGTAGGCGATGGAAGAGGCCACTCGACTCCAGACGATGTAGTCGGACTCATTTTGAAGATACATTGTGAGATTAAACGCATTCCCATAATCCACAATATCAGCCCTGATTGTTGAAAACAAACAAACAAAACTTGTGGGTTTGCTCTGGAATGTTTAAAATGTTTATTTTTTATTTCATACCTCGCGAGAGCAAAAACATCATCAATGTAGCTCGTACGATCAGCTGCGTTAAAAACCTGTTTAAAAAAACAGTGATTTTTCAAATAAAAACATCTAAAAAAAAATAAAATTCGTTTAAAAATGGACCATAAACACGAAGCAATTTATTAGCTAGAAGCTAATGTATTAAAAGCTAGCTAAAAAAGTAGAAATGCATTAGCTAAAAGCAGCCATTGTTTGTTAAAGGCTAAAAGTTGCAAAAGACTATAGCCAAAATTATAGCAAAAGTGTCTTGAAACTGTAAGTGGAAAAAGGCTACCTAAATAGGTAAAAACAACAAAACACTTGTTAAAAGCTAATGTGCAGTCTTTAGCTTTTAACTAGTCTTTTGATAGTAAGATTAGCTAAAGATTAATGTCAAAAGCTAGCTAAAGTAGCAAAAGTGAAAGCTACACGTAGCAAAAGCCTTGATAAAAATTTAAATAAAGAGAATTCACACAACAAGGGCTGAAAAAGCACAGCAGTAGATTTGTTAAAATTGTTTAATCAGATAAAATCATAAACGGGGCTGATCAGCTTTACCGAGTGGTTGGTTTGAAGCTGATCACTGATGATGGTCCACATGTCGTCGTCATGACTGACTCTGTAGAATCCAATATGGTCGTTATTGATCTTCAGCAGCCCGTCTTCTGTGGGCGTGTAGTCAGTGACGAGTTGCTCTGAAAAGTTAGGAGAAAACAAGTCAAAACTGAGCATCAAGTGTCTTAATTTGGCAAATACTAGATATTATTCTTTACTTTTTTACTTGTTGAATTCTGAGTGGGCTGCAGGTGAAAAAGTGAGCCAAACAAATAAATAAGAACTGAAACAGAAAACCTGAATGCACACAAGAAATCTTTACCTGAACATGAGCTCAATTTGTACACTGTACCTGTACTGTCCTTGTCAAACATCGCCATCATCTTTTTTTCACTCTGCACAGAACGCCATTTGACTGGAACTGTCCACTTGTATCTAGATGCAGGTTCACAAAATCAGAAATCATCACGTCTTAGTGTATTAATGACAATAAAAACAGAGTTTTTTGTGAAGTACTCACCCAAAAGGTGAAATAGGTGTGCTGGCGTTAGCTGAAGGGTCCAGGAGGAAACGTTTTTGGGTCAGTTTGGCACTGGTCCCCGAAACTGTCAAATTCACAACAGGATAACCCATCTGTTTGGTCCAAGTGTCCATAACCCCTGCAATGTCCAACCCACTCACCTGGGAACAAAATATTTTGAATTTCAACTCGTTTACTGTTCCACGATTTGAGGTCAGCAGCAAAATTTCAATCAGGTTTGACAGCACAACAAATAATTTGAAGTATACATACACTACTGAGAGCGGTCCAGAAGTCAAATGTTTTGGCGTTCTGGAAGTGGTGGTCTTTTAAGTATTTCTGTGGCCAAAAAAGAGCAAAAAAGCAGAGCATTACATTAATCAAACAAACAATCCGAACATCTGGACCTGGATTTACCCTGCAGCCGTCCCTGAASAGGTCTCTGCCCATCCAGTCCTCCAGCATCCTGAGAACAGACGCCCCCTGTAAAATGTTGGACATTTAGAATCACTTGAAGATTTTTTTTTATCTATCAGAAGGAGGGATATGAATTATGAATCATTTCTTATAGGTGCAGGGTTTAGTTTTTTTAAGGCAAGGCAAGATTATTTATATAGCACAACTCAGTAACAAAACAATTCAAAGTGCTTTACATGATGAAAACAAAAAAATCATTACACTGGAATAGCAGAGTATTTTAAACAGAACTGTCAACTGAAATAGGTTTTTAACTTTGATTTAAAAAAGCTCAGGGTTTCTGCATTCTTACAGCTTTCTGAGATTTYGTTCCATATTAGTAGAGCATAAAAACTCAATGCTGCCTCATGTTCGGTTTTGATTCTGGAAATGGAGAGAATCAGACCTGAACCAGAAGACCAGAGTAGTTTAAACAGATGACCCTCAGCAGGGTCTTGGAGGGTGCATGGGAGTTCGCCCAACCAGTCTACATGTGTTTTGTGGACTTGGAGAAGAAGTTTGACCGTGTCTCTCTGGGACTCCTGTGGGGGGTACTCCGGGAGTATGGGGTACCAGGCCCATTGATATGGGCTGTTAGGTCCCTGTACGACCGGTGCCAGAGTTTGGTCCACATTACGGGTAGTAAATCGGACTCGTTTCTGGTGAGAGTTGGACTCCGCCAAGGTTGCCCTTTGTTACGATTCTGTTCATAACTTTTATGGACAGAATTTCTAGGCGCAGCCGAGGTGTTGAGGGGATCCTTTTTGTGACCTTAGATTCACATCTCTGCTTTTAGCAGATGATGTGGTCCTATTGGCTTCATCAGATCGTGATCTTCAGCTCTCACTGGAGCGGTTTTCAGCTGAATGTGAAGCGGCCAGGATGAGGATCAGTGCCTCCAAATCCGACACCATTGTCTTGAGCCAGAAACTGGTAGGGTGCCTTCTCCGGGTCGGAGAGGAGGTCCTGCCCCAAGTGGAGGTGTTTAAGTATCTCAGGGTCTTGTTCACGAATGAGGAAAGAATGGAGCGGGAGATCGACAGGCGGGTTGGTGCTGCATCTGCAGTGATGTTGCCACTGTACCGGTCTGTCGTGGTGAAGAGAGAGCTGAGCCAGTAGGCAAAGCTCTCGATTTACTGGTCAGTCTACGTTCATAGTCCTACCCTCATCTATGGTCAAAAGCTTTGGGTAGTGACCGAAAGAACAATATCGCGGAKACAAGCAGCCTAAATGAGTTTCCTCCGCAAGATGTCTGGGCTCTCCCTTAGAGATAGGGTGAGAAGCTTAGCTCAGTCATCTGAGAGGGACTCAGAGTAGAGCCACTGCTCCTCCACGTCGAGAGGAGCCAGTTGAGGTGGTTCATCTGGTTAGGATGCCTCCTGGACGCCTCCCTGGTGAGGTGTTCAGGACACGTCCCACTGGGAGGAGACCTAGAGGAAGACCCAGGACATGCTGGAGGGACTATGTTTCTCAGCTGGCCTGGGAACACCTTGGGATTCCCCCGGTYGAGCTGGCCTAAGTGGCTGGAGAGAGGGAAGTCTGGATCTCTCTGCTTAGGCTGCTGCCCCCAAGAACCAACCCCGGATAAGCAGAAAATAACGGATGTACGGACAAAACAAAAACATCAATATATCCCCATATTTTCATCCCAATGTGGATTGATATCAAATGCCCAAATGAAATCCCATCTTATCGATTGCAGACTTTATGTCATTGAACACCTTGAAAAGGACAGTCTCAGTACTGTGGTAGGCATAACCCAACTGAAAGTTATCAAAACGTCAAATTAAACCAATTTTTAACTCTGAGTTTGTCTTGGTTCATACCTTGCTGTAGGAGATGGCATCAAACACAGAGGTGATTTCTGCAGGACTGGACACATCCACGATGATTGGATGAGAGGTAAGGAGGGCGTCGTTCACCATGACGGGAAGTACATCATCGATAATCATGATGTCTCTCTGCAGAATGRCAGGAGGACACATGGGGGATACTTCCAGCAGACAGAAACCTTCAGTGAAACTGTTTGTGGGATGTTTAAAGCAGAACTCACCATACCCCAGGAGGGTTCAGCCTTTTCCACGCCAATGTACTCAAAGAAACTGGCAAAGCCCTCATTGAGCCAGAGGTCATCCCACCAGTCCATGGTGACGATGTTTCCAAACCACTGCAGAGGACATGGATGAGAAGGTTCTCGGGTCTTTGTTGTGTTAAAACCCTGAATGTCTTTTTTGTAATGAGAGTACAACTAATTTATTTTACACTGAACAAAATAAATTGTGTGCAAACGTTACATACACAAACTATGATTCGAACTTTCCTAAAAGTGACAAAAAATAACCTTTTTGTATAGATTCTGGTGTTTCATTATATTTTGTATCGCAAGTACAAATTTCTGATTGATGACATTTATTTCATCCATCAATCTGCCCATCCATCCAGCCATCCATCCAGCCATCCATCCAGCCATCCATCCATCCAACCAACCATCCATCCATTTTATGCCTCTTGATGTCTGGTCTTGGGGAAAAAAACAAGTCCAGGAGGAAAACCCAGATAACTCTCTCTCCAGGCCTGGTAAACCCCAGGAAGCCCAAACAACTTTAGCTTTTCATAATCCTTTGGGTTTGAATTTTAGTTGTGCAGATTAGTCACTTTACCCCCTTTTTTTCAGTTTTTGTTGGTGATTCCTGACACAGATGAACCAGGAAGTCAAGGGTTTCATCTTTCCAGCTCAGCTCCTTTATCAGAGCAATTTCCTTATTACCAAAAGCCCCAATTGTTGTTCTTCAATCTACTGGTTTGTCCTCACATCATTCATTGACAACATTCAAATGTGACCCATCAGATCAAACCGAGGTTTAATCGTTCCTTATCTATTTTACACCTACAGGAGATAAGGAGGCTGGCGGTGATTGTCTATAAAGGTTTATAAGCTGAAGTTACAGGTTTATGGATTGTTCCTGGTTGTTGATGACTCTAACATGACCGGAACAATAAACCTTAAACCTTTATGGTTAAGAGACACTGATGCCAGAGAACTTTTTTAAACTTTGATTTTCTGTGATGATTTTCATGTCAAGACCAAAGAGAAAAGAGAAAAAAAAAAGGATAAAATCCTCAGTTATTTCACTGGGAATTCATCAGAACATGTTTGGGGGTTTTTTTAGTTCTTTTTTTTTTTTGTTACCTGGTGAACCAGCTCGTGGGCGATGACGCTGGCCACCCGCTGCTTGTTGGACGAGGACGACTCGTTCTCATCGTACAGCAGGTTGGTCTCCCTGTAGGTGATCAGACCCCAGTTCTCCATGGCTCCAGTACCAAAGTTAGGGATGGCTATCTTATCTGGGTCAGAACAGCACAAAAGTTCTCTGAAGTGGCCGTGTAGCAAGTATTTTACCGCATCACAAACTGATAATCCTGCTCAGATAATGAGATCCTGATRACCAGATAGAACGATAATCACTCCCAAAAAATATTCTGAACTCAGCTTGTTGGCAAAATATCTTATAAACCAGTGGACAGAACTGATCAGCTTTTCAAGACAACCAGATTTAAGGTGGCCACCAAAAAATGTCTAGTTTCTTGACAATGTTTCCACAAAGAGTCATGAATCCTACCAAGCTTGTGGAGCGAGTATGACATGTTGAAGTATTCCTCAAAGTAGTCAAAGATAATCTTTGTCGTGTCAGCTGCATATTCTGCCGTCACCAACTGACTCGGCTGGGCRTAGATTCGCAACTGCAACGAGATGGAGCAGCACTGAGATTACAGAAGCTCAAAGGTGTTTTATTTAYATTATGGTTCTTCAAACTTACGGGAATACCGCTGGCAGAAGTTCTCTCCACATATTCAAACAAATGAACAGCGAAACAAACCAAGTAGGTGCTCATCGGGACGGACTTCTGGAAGGAAGTTTTTACTCTACTGCCTGGAAGTTTTTCAGGCACACCCTGGGAAAGCAAATCAAAAAGGCCCCAATTAGAAGGTTTTCTTTGTTAAACCTCAGTAACATTTATAAATATATTTCCATGCTATTAAATTTACTGGTGATGCAACAARAAGCATTATGGTAATCATTGGTAATGGCACCATTTCTGGTTTTGTCCTACCTGTTCTGGCATGTTGGACAGAGCACCGTACTGCTCATCATGAGTGATGGAGATGGAATAGGTGGCCTTCTTGTTGGGCTCATCGAAGCAGGGGAAAGACTTTCGGGCGTCTGTCGGCTCATGATCGGTTGCTGCAATCTTCCTGTTGAGAAAAGTTTAGCAAATGGATTCAAACGAACTCAGCTAATTATGCAAGGGTTTGGTGATGTCATCATTTGCCATTATTTCACTCTAAGGTCTACAAAAAATGATAGCACAGACTGTCAGATCTTACTTGGTGATCCCCTCCTCTGTGTAGACCACACTGTAGAATCCCACCAGGGAGCCGTTGAGCCAACCCTGGAAGTCCAGAGTGAGGACGTAAAGCTCTCCTGCTTCATTGGCTGGCAGCTCCTCTGTGGCCTCCACCACCACGTACTCCTCAGGTTTGTACTCAAAGCAGCGCTTCACCTCCACCTCCCTCTGCTCCCCCTGACTGTTCAGGACCCTCAGCTTGGGCGTGGCGCTCACAAACGTCTCCCTGATATGTAGCCACAGGTGACGGGTGGGCTGACGGACCTCCACCTGAATGTCCACAGTGCCAGTATAGGTGTCATGGACCATGTCCGGCTCCAGGTGGAGGTCGTAGTGGACCGGTTTGACGTAGTCAGGCAGACGGAAGTTCTTCCAGTCCCCAGAGGAATCAGAGGAAGGCTGGCAGGGCCCTCTGCCAGGTGGAGGCTGTGTAGGTTCAGCTGTGGGTTTAGCTGTGGCTTCAGCTGTGGATGAGGAGGACCCACTTAGGCCCACCCCCAAACCCACAGTCAAGGAGCAAACCAYCACCGTAGCACAGATGATGACTGCATGCTTACCTCGAATGCAGTAACGTTTCTCGAACTTCTCAGTGTCGAAGCTCTCTGGCATCCTGACCTCCAAACCTGAAAACTTCTCCGGTCCAAAGCAGGACTTTGGCTGAATCTGTGAACCCGACCTGGAGTTTCTTTTGGCTCCTGCGTTGTTTAGATTAGCTGCATGCAAGCCGAACCAAAGCCCGACTCCTGTGGTGCTGAAGGGAGGAGAGCGAGAGGGAGGAAAGGAGGAGGAGAAGTGAACCTTTCACTTTTCACTGAGGACTATTCTGTCCCTAATCATGTTAGTGTGCCACTTTCTGTTAAATATCTACAACAGTCCTGTAAATGAGAAGCTAAAGTTCAACTTCCATCCATGTTAGGTCATAAAAATCACAGCAACAACATAAAACAGAGCGTTCAGGAGAGGCTTCAGTTTGATGGAGCTGCAGCTGACGATGGAAACGAAAGGAAAGGTTTGTTGTTCCAACACCACTGTGTGCGGTGTCGTGTTCAACACAACAGAGATTACAAGAGAAGAGCGAGCCCCTCGAGCCAAAGCCACAAACGACATCCTGATCTTTTTGGCTGCGGTTCCTGATTATCATATTACGTTGGAGTTTTAATCACAGAACAGTCATGTTTCAACAAAGTTAAATTGGTGGTAAATCCATACGGTGACACAGGTTGTTGAATAACACGGAAAAAATAAAAAATGCAGCATTTGCACTTTTTTTTAGTTTGAAATGTTCTGAAGACTTATGCCAGGTGGTAATATAAAACAGGAGGAACATTTGTTCATAACTCAAGTTTCTGGTCCCTGAAAAATGTGCAGACTCACCGTGAAAGTTGGATAAGTAACTTATTTTGTTTTCCACCTACCTCAGTTTTTTGTCTACCCAGCTGTCCACACACCTTAATTTAATCTGCTAAAAAACGCTTCTAAAACAAAAAAAATGGCTGATTTTACTCACCTCAAAGCTCCACAGAGTTATTTTGGAGTTTAATGAGTGTTTATATCCTCCAGTTCATTTGTGGGAGGCTGATTTATTTAATCAACCTGTTGTTTTTTGTTTTTACTTTTGGTTTCCTGAGTTGACATCCTGTCTGACCCTGAGCAGTTTTTATCTTCACTGTTTTTGTTTCACAGCAGTGGAGTCAGATAAGACAAATGTGTCTGAACTGGTCCAAACAGCCGTGGCGACCCATTAATTCCTGAGCTGTGGATGATAACAGGCTGTGGCAGCAGAGTAGTGGTTGTAGCTGCAGTAAACACTGATGTAGTTGTTTGGAAGCAGTGGAGACGACGTCACCAAAGTAACCCAGAATTACCTTTGCACTGTGTGAAGTACAGTCCGCTTTGTGTTTTCAGCTTTAACGGGAATAAAAGTGCATGGAGTGCTCAGTATGGTCTGTCTGGGTTCTTGTGTTATTTTGATTCTAGTCTAGTTTTCTGTCTTGTCCTTCTCTGTTCACCTCCTCCTGCCTGTCTTTCCTTCAGCCCCGCCCACTCTCACCTGTTCCTAATGTTTCTCTCACAGGTGTTTCTTGTTTCTGCTCATTAGTTCTCTTTCATATTCTGTTTTCTGTCTTCAGTCTGTGTCAGATCTTTGTTAACTGTTGTAGTGTCGTCTCATGCCAAGTCCTTGTATCTTTGTATTGATTTTTGCTGCCACGCCAGCGCTTTTGTTAAATAAAGCCTGTTTTGCAACCTTTTTTTTGGATGGCCTCCCTTCTCCCCTTATAGCCATCCTCTCCACACCATTATGTTTTTTTTTTGTGAAGAGAAAATAGAGAGAGAGAAAAACAGAGAGAGAAGTAATTAGAAAGATAGAAAGACTGAAATAGCGATTAGGAGTTTATTAAATGTACACCTACAAAACACAGGACCACACACCCAACATCTGTCTGCTCACCTGAAAAATAAATGGATAAATACATAGAGGGCATATATAAAAATATACACATACATATATAAAGATATACATACATACATGCCTACATTCATAAATATTGTCCGTATATACACAGACATATATACACACTCAGTGACCTGTTTTGCAACCTTTTTGCCACCATCACTCAGTGCTGCATCTGGGGTTCAAACCACCAAGCTCAAGTTCTAACGTTAACGTCTTAAAATAAGCTGCTTTAAAGCTAGCGTTGACCGTTATACATGTTATTTTAAAATGACGACACTGGACTCAAAAGTCCATCATGTAAAAATCTCCATTTCGCTGTATTTTTTGCTGCAGCCCAGTTTTACTTCCATCCATCCATCCATCCATTTTCTGTACACGCTTCTTCCTTTTCAGGGTCGCGTGGGTCACTGGTGCCCATATCCAGCAGTCACAGTGCGAGGGGCGGGGTACACCCTGGACAGGTCGCAAGTCCATCACAGGGCCACACATAGAGACAAACGAGACAAACAACCATTCACTCTCTCACTCACACCTAGGGACAATTTAGAGTTATCAATTAACCTAACAGTCATGTTTTTGGTCTGTGGGAGGAAGCCGGAGTACCCGGAGAAAACCCACGCATGCACGGAGAGAACATGCAAACTCTACCCAGAAAGGTCCCCAGACCGGGATTTGAACCGGTGACCTTCTTGCTGAGAGGCATCAGCTCTACCAACTGAGCCACCGTGCCGAATTTCCTACTTATAAGTTGCAAATTTAAATTAGAACGCCCCTCCGGTGGGAATTCCCTGTAGGAAAGTGGGAGGGTTCAGAATTCAAAACGACAGCCACTCACCACAACTCAACAGTGAGTAAAACTTTTACTTTTAATTTTTTTTGTAATATTTATTTCACATTTAGTCACTTGTACTCGTACTTTTCAGGGTGTTAAAACACTGTTTCTATGCAGGAAATACCACGTAGAGCTTAGTTATTGTTTGTTGCTCATGAACGTGATGTTTCATGTTCAGTTATTTATTACAACCATAATGCTGATGTAGTCCTCAGTGAAGATGACACCCCTGGTCTTTCCAGTCTCTGTAGAAACAAAATGATTTGTGTCTCCGTCCTCGGCCCCTTCTCTTTGATCCTGTTTGTTGAGTTCACAGGATCTAAAGGAGCAGATTGGTTTAACCCACCACTGAGAGGCGCTACAGACCAAAACCTCCAGAGGAACTGTTGATTTTCTACAGCTGTAAGAAGGTTGCAGGATCACCTCCCGGTCTGGGCCTGAAGTTTGCCTCTTCTCCCTGAGCACTTCTCACATGTACAACAGCAGTAAAGTTTTGTCTAATCTAACCCAATCCAAACATTATCAGTGTTTTCACTCGTGTTCTGAACTCCCTGTGACACTATTAAGAGTTTGAAATAAGATCCAGCAAGGTCAGTCTGTTGGTGTTTTAGATTATTTGTAAAAMTCGATATAGAAAGAAATAAAAACAAAAATCACACAATCACCAAGACACAGATTTACACAAAAAAGTAGACTTTATTATTCATCTAAAAGTATCTTTGCTTTTTAATCATCATCTTCATGATGTAGTTTTGCTAAAATACATTTTTTCAGCTACACACAGAACATTTAAAAATATAAACGTCACTGATTTACATGAAGACTTTTCTATGACTGAATGTGACCCAGTTATGTTGTATGTTGACTGCAGTTTGTTGGTTTTTTTAAAAGCAAAATGCTTTATAGGATGCAAAAACCTTATTTTGAAGTTTATTTTATTTTAAATTCTGATTAGGTTTCTTTAACTGAACATATTGATCAAACTGGAGCTGATCCAAAAGTGACAAAAGAGTTCAATCGTGGACACTTTGTTTTCTGCGTGTGTTTTCAGCGTCTGTCCACAGAGTGGCCTCATMGAGCAGATCTGCAGGTTAGACCTCGGACTGCAGCACCGTTCTTTAACCATAAAGTGTAAATCCAGGCTGGCAGCGGTTCTTCCACTCTCCACCACAGACTGCAGAGCTGTGTTGGGTTTATCTCCTACTGCGCCACCCCTTTGAACTGGTTTCCTGACAGCTGCTGTCGSACTGAGAGCTTGGAGCCGGCAGCGTCGCCGAGTTTTCTCCAAACCACCTGCGAGGAAGAGACATTGAGCAGCTTTTTAATACTCCTCAGATTTAGACCTTAAAGTAGACATATCATGTTTTCAAATCCTTCCTTTTCACATTTACAGTAACTCATTCAGCTGGGGTCTATATAAAGTGGAACTACAAAGCTTCGGTTTGAATTCCTCCTTATTTTAACGTTACCAGCTGCTCTTTCACCACTTTTCTGGCGTGTCTCAAAGCAGCCGGATTTGATACCTTTCCTTTAAAGAGATCCACGATTAGTTGTAGACTTTATTTGATCAACATWTAGATATAGTTCACTCGCAGCCTCGCACCGATAACCTCGTTGACGTCATCATTTACCCAGTATGCTTTGCATGTAAGGAAAATGGCTCCTTCCGTGTAATATAATTTTAAAAAATTTGTTTAAAAATTATAAAAACTTAACAGCCTTTAGGGTTTTTACAGTTTTTATTTTACAGTTAAAATAAATAATTATTGAATAAAGTCTTACAACTAATCGTGGATCCCTTTAAGACTCTTCAAGCCCCACCCCCTCCTGCTTCCAGACCGGTCCGCTCCGGTTTGAGAGAGGAGGTTACGTTTTCTAGGCTGCAGAAGTGTTTTATATAAAATTAAATTGAAAGATGTCAGCGACAGAAGACTTGGCCATCCAGCCTTACATGTTGGAGCCAGAGTCTGACCCAGAACCAGAGTCTGACCCAGAACCAGAGTCTGACCCAGAACCAGAGCAGAATTAAGACAAGGAAATTGTAGTCGGTAAGTCCAGACCTTATATGGTTATTCCATCACAGATAATTTGACATAATAAAAAAACTATATGGGCTGAAAAATATGACCCAAACAGAATAAAGATACATTTGCAGAAGAAGGAGAGACTAAATTAATATTTTCTGCCTCCTGGAGACACCAAGTCCGCAACAAATTGTATTTAACAGGTAAAAAAGTGGATTTTTCATGGTATGTCCCCTCTAAAGRTAGTCTTAGTTCAAGTTCAAGTTTATTTATWTAGCGCCAAGTCACAACATACGTTGTCTCAGGGCACTGTRCATAAAAAGAATAATCTAAAGAAGATTAGGTCTTCTTTGTGACTAAAACAAATAAAAACCTACGTTGCACATCTCCCTGACGATGGCCTTCTCCTTCTCGCTGAGGTCTTCATTATATTCCCTCGAGCTCTGCCTGTCGAGCTTCTCGTGAACCTCCAGGACCTGGACTCACAAAAACCAATTCAGATGTTAGACATTRGAAGCAGAAACCAGCCAGAACCGGTTCTGTCTGATTCAACAGACCCGTTTCTATCAGTGAGGTGGTTCACCTTCATCGCGTGGACAACAGCTTCTGGTTTCTGACCCAGCAGTGGGTAGAGCCCCGTGGGGGAACGTTCTCCGCTGGAGGTCTGAGCGGGCTTCTGCTGAGGAAGAGGAGATGATTATTCTCATGTTTTTATTTATTTATTTTACTGGATTTAGGATTTAGAAAACCCAATCAAACCTGGTCCAAATCTGAAAACAAAAGCGGTTTATAAAGAGCCAACTTGCACTGATTGGATCCAGGTGAGGAAACGAGCCCTGATGGAAATCAACTAATAAAGTTAAACCATCTTTAAATCCCCTCCTGATTGGTCTTTTAAMTTCAGCTGGGACTCGTAATGAGCGGAAAGAAAATGAAACTCTGCTCCGAGGCAGAAATAATTCCTCACTTTGCTTCGGATTTAGAGTGAAACAAGCCGAATGAAGCTTGAAGGAGGAGGAATGAAAACTAAAATAAAACGAGCAGATATGAGCTTTTATAGGGTTAACATGAATATTTACCTGTAACAACTGGTTTTCCTCCACCAGCAGCCTCACTTTGTTCTCCAGCTGCTGGATGTAGCTGTCTGATGCATCTGAAGAGAAACAGATTAAAGCTTTATTTAACCAGATAGATTCCCCCAATCCCCCRTCAAACACATCAACGTGAAAACTAAAAACAAAAAGCAGCTCAGAAATGTTTTTGTTTCTGCTGACTGAGGTCATAAAATCAGTTTAAAACTCAGCTGAACTCATAGTTTCAGGTGTTCTGGGATGAGTCTCTACAGGTTTTTACATTTCATGTCGCTGAGATTCCCTTCATCTCCAGAGCAGATGGGGGGGAGTGGGGG